CTGTATGTCACCAACATATCCCCTCTGAGTCTCCTCTTCTCCAGGCTGAAGAGACCCAGTTCCCTCAGTCTCGCCTCATACCCCATCCCCTGCAAACCAGCCACCAACCTTGTGGCCCTACGCTGCACTGACTCTAACCTGGCTATATCCTTTCTGTAATGAGGGGCCCAAAACTAAGCACAATACTCCAGTTGTGGGCACACTAGAGTCGTATAGAGTGGTAGTAATACCTCTCTCGATCTAGAAGCCACACTTCTGGCTATGCAACCAAGGGTGGCATTCGCCCTCTTGACCACCGCATCACACTGGTGACTCATGTTTAGCCTGCAGTCAACCAGTACCCCGAGGTCCCTTTCACAAGTGCTGCTCTCCAGTCACTTGTCACCTAACCTGTACTTATGACAGCTATTCCTATGCCCCAAGTGCAAGACCTTGCACTTACCCACATTGAACGCCATCCTGTTGTCTCCTGCCCACTTCCATAGTCTGTCCAGATCCTTTTTGATCTGGAGTACCTGCTCCTCAGTTGTGACCACTGCTCCAGTTTTAGTGTCGTCTGCGAATTTGATCAGCAGACTGTTCACTCCTTCTTCCATGTCATTAATGAAAAGATTAAACAGGATTGGCCCTAGGACAGAGGCCTGGGGGGCCCCGCTTGTCACTGGCCGCCATCCTGATGATTCCCCGCTAATGGTTACCTTCTGCTTTCGGTCAGTCAACCATGCCCTAATCCACCAGACAGTGCTTTGGTGTATCCCAGAACTCCTCAGTTTCTCCACCAGGATATCATGGGGCACTTTATCAAAGGCCTTGCTGAAATCCAAGTAAACCACATCCACTGCATCCCCTCCATCTAGTCATCTCGAAACCTTGTCATAGAATTCCACAAGGTTTGTCTGGCAGGACCTGTTTTTGCAGAAGCCGTGTTGTGTGGCTATCAGCCTCCCTTCCCTATCTTGTATCACTTGATCTCTCTCTATTATGAGCCTTTCCATTGTTTTTCCTACAATGGACGTAAGGCTAACCGGTCTATAATTCCCCATGTCCTTTCTACTACCCTTTTTGAAAACTGGGACCACTGATGCCACCCTCCAGTCCTCTGGAACTTCAATTGTTTTCCACGAGGTCTCAAAAATGGAGGCCAGTGGGCATGAGAGAACCCCTGCCAACTCTCTAAGTACTCTCGGGTGTAACCCATCAGGGCCTAGCGCCTTTGCAATGTCAAATGCCCTGAGGAGCCCCTCGACTTCAAGGGGGGTGACTCTAATCTGTGCCCCTAAGTCCCCAGCCTCATCTAATCTCCTATGCGGATATCCCCCGTCCTGCTTTGGGGAGAACACAGAGGCAAAATAGTCATTTAGCATCTGTGCCTGTTCCCTCATATCAGTCACTGCATCTCCTTCCTCCTTATTTAGTGGTCCCACCACTTGTCTCCCCTTCCTCTTCCTATTTACATGCTGAAAGAAGCCCTTTTTGTTGCTCTTGATATTCTTGGCAAGTCTCAGCTCATAATCAGTCTTAGCCTTGCGAAGAATCCTTCTGCAACCGGCCTTCTCCTCCCGGTATACCCTTTTGTCTATTTCCCCTAGTACACATTTCCTACGGAGGTTCCTCTTTCGTCTAATCCCTCTAACCACCTCCTTTCGCATCCATGGCGGCACCCTCCTCCGCCTCCCCACCTTACTGACTAGAGGTATCGTCAAGGCTTGCGCCTCCAAAACCTCCCTTTTGAGTGCTATCCACCCCTCCTCAACTCGCTTACCTTCCAGTAACCTATCCCAGGAGACTTTCCCCAGTCTGGCCTTCAGTTGGCCAAAGTTGGCCCTCTTGAAGTCCCAGCTTCTAGTGTGCGACCTGCTGCACGTCCCCATTCCCCTGATCTCAAAGCAAAGGATGAAGTGATCACTTGCATCCAGAGCTCCCCTAATCTGTACTTCACCTATCAGCTCCTCCCTATTGGTCAAGACCAAGTCAAGGATGTCCCCCCCCCCCCCCCCCCCGGTCGCCTCTCGGACCCTGTGTGTGAAAAACCCTCCCTCTATAGCTCCTAGGAAGCGACGTGACCTGGCTGTTACCGCCGAGTGAGTCTCCCAGGTAATATCCGGGAGATTGAAATCTCCCATAATTACTGTGTCTCTCCCTCGAGATATCCTTAGAATCTGGCCTGTCAGGACATCATCCAGGGTCTCAAGTTGACCTGGAGGGCGATAACATACCCCCACTGTCAGGTCTCTTTCCCTGTCAAAACCCCTAAGTTTCACCCAGACTGCCTCTACTGAATCCCCATCTGTGCTGCATTCTATCTCACTGCATCCTATCCCTTCCCTGACGTATAAAGCCACACCCCCACCCCTCTTTCCCTTCCTGCCCTTTCTAAAAAGGTGATACCCTTCTGTGTTCACATTCCAGACTTGCCTTTCATCCCACCAAGTTTCTGTGATTCCCAACAGATCATACCCTCCTATTCCCAGGAGAGCTTCAGGCTCTTCCTGCTTATTACCCATGCTCCTAGCATTGGTGTACATGCAACTCAACTCCTTCCCACCGCTTCCTTTCCTTGGAGTTCCCAGCCTCCTCCTTCCTCCCATCCTCCCTGATACCTGGCCCCTCTCTGTAGGAGTCCTGTCAGTCTCTGCAGTACCTCTAAAACCGTGTTCGCAGAGCCCTGATCCTCTCCCCATACTTATCCAGTGCAGACACGTTACTGGGGGGCCTGAACCCCCCCCCCCCCGGCTCAGTTTAAAGTCTTCTGGACGAAGCTCGCTAGAGCATCTCCAACAGACCTTTTCCCCATCCTCGTGAGGTGTAACCCGTCCCTTGCCAGAAGTCCATTGGCAAGAAAATGAGTGTCGTGGTCGAGGAACCCAAAGCATTCCTTCTGGCACCACACTCTAAGCCAGTCGTTCACCTCGGAGGCCCTCCTGTCCCTTCCTGGCCCAAATCCCCAGACAGGTAAGATTGATGAGAAGGCCACTTGGGCCTTCAGCTCCCTGAGTTTCTTCCCCAAGGCCTCAAAGGCCCTGGTGGTCCCAACCACACCCTGCCTGGCCACGTCGTTTGTGCCCACATGGATCACAAGGAGCGGCTGGTGACCCCCAGAGCGAACAAGACACTCCACTCTGTCCTTCACATGCCGGATGCATGCGCCCGGCAGGCAGCAAACCTCCCTTGTCTCCAGGTTGGGGCGGCACACTGCCAGCTCAGTGCCCTTCAGCAGGGAGTCCCCAAGAACAATCACCCGCCACCGTGTCTTCCTGGTGGTGGTGGGCGGCCGTGCCCTGGTCCTCGCCTCTCCTGCAGCAGCCCCCTTGCCGCCTGATGTCCCAGGCTGGGTGTTCTGCTGGTCCTCCAAGGCCTCATCAGCCCCAGCCTCCCCAAGTGGAGAGAACCTGTTTCCCAGCTCCAGATTGGTGCCAGGAGGAGAAGGAGGCCGTGCTGGCCGCCTCCTCCTGTGGGTGACATATCTCCATGTCTCCACAGCTGCTTCTCCCGTGATCTCTCCCTCAACCCTCTGTCCAGAGGGGGGCTGCTCCGGGGGGGCCTGGAGAGCTCTCTCGGCCCTCAGGCACCTCACCTCCTCTTCTAGCAGGGTCACCATCTTGCACCGAGGGCAAGTGTATCCCTGCCTCTCCTGGGGGAGAAGGGCGAACATGTCGCAGCTCTCGCAGCGGACAGCAACACCCGTGACTCCCGCCAAGGCCATCTCCTGGTCTGCCATCGGTATCCCTTCCGAGACCTTACCTTGGTCCCCTGCCTTGTTTGTCCTGCAGTTCCTCTCACTCGCCTAGTTCTCCCAGCCAAAACCCACTCTCACACACACACACACGGATAAAATAAACTTAAATTTAAATTGGAAGAAAAACAAAGCACAGCACAGCACAAACAAAACAAACAAACAATCAAACCTCTGTGTCTCAGGGAAGGGAGTCTCCGGACAGCCCGGGCTGCAGTTAAGGGATGCATACAAGGGACGACACCAAGAGGCCAGAGCCAAAAGGGCTTGCAGTGGCTTAGTGCGGCCTTATCAGTCCCTCAGGCCCTGGCCCCGACTGTCTGCTATCTCCTGGCTGCTCTAGCCTCTCTGGCCCCGTCCCCCTTCCTCTCTGCTGCTCCTGGCCCTCTGCTCCCCTGCCCAGCCCCTACCTTGCCTTCGCCAGTCCCCTGGCCACTCAGCACTCTCTCCCAGCCTGTGCCTCTGCTGCTCTGCCAAAAGGCCAGAGCCAAAATCACCTTCTCCTTTAAGGCAGCATTTCACAAACTCTCTGCATTCCCAGATTTTGCCCCATGTTGACTACCTGTGTCTGCCTGTGCTCAGCAAAGAAAGCTCTAGAAGGCCCAGACCTAAGTACAGATATGGGCCTACTGGCTTGCTCCATTCTTATCCTAGAGTGTGGCCAGCAGACTCTTGTGGAGGTGCAAAGCAACATTCAGTGTACTGATGGTGGGCAAGCTATTGAAAGCACTCATCTGCAATGCCTGATCATGTTGAAGAACCCCTGAAATTGTAAGGGGTGGAAGCAAAACTGGGAGAGAATTAGAAATGCATTGCTTTGGAGGAGCACTTCCAATAGCAGTAACATCACAAAGCTTACATACACTCTCAAATAACGCCAGAGTGCTTTATACATGCAGAGTGAGGCTGTAAAGTCTAGAAGCAGTAAATCGTACCACTTCAGAGTAGACAATTTAGAGTACTTTCCCTCATAATATACTCCTTGCAAGTTAAAACTACTTAGAACCTTAGAGAGTAAGGTTCTAGCCTAGCATTCTCCTTGCTGTGTTTGTTTTCCACTTACAGGGATTTAAAAATGTAATAGGCATTGAAAATAAGCTACTGAACTAATCTTTTCTACTACCGCATGACTCTCTCACTGTATTCCACATCATGTGGAGATGTAGCAATAACTCTGATTTGGAAAAGGATGAAGATTATAGATACAGATGTAGATACATTATTGACCCAAAGGATAAAAAAAGCTATACATTAATGAATTCCCTACCTTGATCAGTTCTTTAAACTTGGCATCCTCCTTTGAGCTGGGATCTATCATGGTGCGTTCTTCATTTTCTTCTGCCAGTTTAGAAGATAAACCCTTGGTTAGAGCCATCATGATCCACATATACACACAAGCACACCATCCCTTTGATACTGTTTCTCAAGAATCAGCTGCTGTCTGATTCATGAATGGCTAAAAGCAATCATGGTACAAAATAAGGAAAAATATCAAATCATCATGAGGAATGGAACAGGTCTGAGGATGCATTAAACAATGGGTTACACAATGCTAGCTTCCTCAAAGGATGGACAGACATGCCAGGAAGCACTTCCTGACAGTCAGGACCCCAAGGGTGTGGAATAGGCTTCCCCGGGAGGTGGTTGAGGCCCCATCAGTGCGGGTGTTCAAGGATAGGCTGGACATCCACATGGTGGGCATGTCGTGAGCGGAGCCGGCTGGTGCCAGAGGTCAGACTAGATGGACCGGGAGGCCCCTTCTGACTTGCTCTGTTTTCTATATTTCTATGCCAATGGCAAATCAGGCCTTTGGATCACATGGCACTCGACATGGCCCCTCCAGTTCCCAGAGCACAGCTCTCTTCTGTGGTAGGTAGGCGATCAGATCATTGTTTCATCGTGACTTTCTATGTGGCTTCTTCCTTTTCCCTTAAGATCAGAGGGCGCTAAAATGGATTCAGATAACTGTGTTCGTGGGCATAAATATTCTATCACCTTTAATTATAAAACAGGATGTGTGCCTTTCTGTCCTAGACATTTGAAACTTGACTTGCACATTAAGGAAACCTGGAGAAGGACATCTCAGGGGTGGGGGGTGAGTGAGAATGCATTAATTTTAATTTAAATAAACCAAATTGTGGTGCTGGAGAAGACTCCTACGAGTCTCTTGGACTGCAAGGAGATCAAACCAGTCAGTCTTAGAGGAGATCAACCCTGACTGCTCTTTAGAAGGCCAGATACTGAAAATGAAACTTGAATACTTTGGCCACCTAATGAGAAGGAAGGGGTCGCTGCTGTTTGGGTGCCGTTCAGGGGACGAGAGGGGGGCTGGGCTGGCCGAGGACTCTTGTTGAAATAGGTTGAATTTTTTTTTTTTTTTTTAGGTTGAAATTTTTTATTTAAATAAAAACATAAATAGGCTTGCCTACCGCTGAATCTTAGGGAAGGGGAAGGATTCCCCCCGCTTTCTTTTTAGCGTTCTTTTTCTCTCCTCTTTCGAACTACTTTACAATTTTACCCTGCTTTAATCAGTGCTTTGAGTCATCCCTGGCCATGTCGACGTTTATATATCCTGGGGAACACACGGGCGCTGCTATTGGCGTGGTCACAGGCAATGGTCGTTACAGCAATAGGGGCTTAACGTGTCCACGTAGAAGAAGGATGGACAGATGGCTGACACCTATCCCTCCTTCTGGTTCTGCCCCCAACCAGAGGGCGCCAGGTAGCCTTGTCAACCACCCCTCGGGCCTGACGGTGCTGCTGCTCAATGCCAGGTCAGTCAATAATAAATCTTCCCTCATCCATGACTTGATTGTGGATGAGGGGGCCAACCTGGCTTGCATAACAGAGACCTGGACGGGAGAGGGAGGGGATGTTGCCCTCTCCCAATTGTGCCCGCCCGGGTATCTGGTTCAACACTGTTCACGCCCAGAAGGGAGGGGAGGGGGAGTCGCGCTGGTTTACCGAGCCTCCATCTCTCTCACGGGTCTTCCGGTCCCTTTGAGACCAGGGCTGGAGTGCCCCTACTTGGTGTTGGGCGAACGAGACAGATTGGGGATTCTGTTGGTGTACCGTGCACCCTTCTGCCCAGCAGTCTCCCTATCTGAGCTGACAGAGACCGTCTCGGACCTGGTGTTGAGGACCCCCAGGATGTTGGTCCTGGGGGACTTCAATCTCCATGCCGAGTCTGGACTGACCAGGGCGGCTCAGGACTTCATGGCCTCTATGACGGCCATGGGCCTGTCTCAACATGTCATCGGCCCAACCCATGAACGTGGACACACTCTGGACCTGGTTTTCTCGATGGGGCAGGAAGAGGATGACCTGAGGGTGAGGAACTTATGTTTGACTCCCCTGTCATGGTCAGATCACCTCCTGGTGAGGTTTGTGCTCGAGAGCGGCCTCTCCCTCTATAAGAATGCGGACCCGATTGTATGGGCCCGCCCCCGGAGCCGGATGGATCCGGATGGATTCCTGAAGGCCCTGGGGGCATTTCCGGCTGACAAGACTGGTGCTCCTGTTGAGGCTCTGGTCGAACTGTGGAACGGAGAGATGACCAGGGCTGTGGACACGATCGCTCCCAAGCGTCCTCTCCCACCGGGCAGAGTCTGCTCTTCCCCTTGGTATACACCTGAATTGCGGGCGATGAAGCGGGTTGGGAGACAACTAGAGAGTAGGTGAAGGAAATCACGAGATGAATCTGACGGAACACACTTGAGAGCCCACTATCGGGCCTATGCTGTGGCGGTGAAGGCGGTGAAAAAGAAGTTTTTTCCGCTTCCATTGCCTCCTCACAATGCCGTCCGGTGGAGCTTTTTCGAGTGGTACAAGGCCTGGTTCACCCGGGTCCTAAGGAAGAACCGATGCCACCCTCAAAGGCCCGCTGTGACGACTTTGCCAGGCATTTCAGGGAGAAAATCGCTCAGATTCGTCACGAGCTGGACTCCACTAATGAATCAGAGGTCTCTGGGGAGACACCAATGCTACCGTCTGGTCCAAAATTATTGGAGGAATTTCAATTATTGCGGCCCAATGATATGGACAAGGTGCTTGGACAAGTACGTCCCACCACTTGCCTATTGGATCCTTGCCCGTCTTGGTTAATAAATAACTCCAAGCACGGGATTGGGACCTGGATCTTGGAAGTGGTTAACGCTTCTCTGAGGGAGGGTCGGGTGCCTGCCCCTTTAAAGGAGGCGGTAATACGACCAGTCCTGAAGAAAGCGTCACTGGATCCAGAGATGGCCACTAACTATAGACCTGTGGCCAACATCCCGTTTCTGGGCAAGGTGTTGGAGCGAGTGGTGGCGGGACAACTCCAAGCACTCTTGGATGAAACTGATTATCTGGATCCTTTTCAGTCCGGCTTCAAACCCGGGTACAGTACTGAATCTGCCTTGGTCACCCTGTACGATGACCTGTGCAGGGAGAAGGACAGGGGGAGTGCGTCCCTGTTGGTTCTCCTGGACCTCTCGGCGGCTTTCGATACCATCAACCATGGTATCCTTCTGGATAGGCTAGCGGGATTGGGGGTTGGAGGCACTGCTTTGCAGTGGTTCCGCTCCTATCTCAACGGTCAATTCCAGAAGGTAGTGCTGGGGGACCATGTCTCTACGCCATGGCAGCTATGCCATGGAGTACCACAGGGCTCCATCCTATCCCCTCTGCTATTTAACATCTATATGAAACCGCTGGGAGAGGTCATCAGGAGGTGTGGGCTGCGGAATCATCAATACGCTGATGATACCCAGCTCTACCTCTCGTTTTCCACTAATCCAGGTGAGGCAGTGGCTGTGCTGAACCGGTGCTTGGCCGAGGTAACGGAATGGATGAGGGCCAATAAACTGAAACTCAACCCAGACAAGACGGAGGTCCTGTTGGTTGGCGGATTGGGCTTCGGAGAGGGTGGATTTGACCTGGTCCTGAATGGTGCAACACTCCCTCTTAGGGACAAGGTCCGCAGCTTAGGAGTACTCCTCGACCCGGAGCTTTCTTTGGAAGCTCAGGTGACAGCGGTGGCGAGGAGCGCCTTCCTTCAGCTTCGGCTGATTAATCAGCTGCGCCCCTACCTGGAGTATGACTGCCTGGCAACGGTGACACACGCGCTGGTGACTTCCCGCCTAGACTTCTGTAACGCGCTTTACGTGGGGCTTCCCCTGAAGACGGTCCGAACACTTCAATTGGTGCAAAATAGAGCTGCCAGGTTGCTGACGGGGACGGGGCATTATGCTCACATGACTCCAGTCCTCCGTCAGCTTCACTGGCTTCCCATTGAAGCGTGGGCCCAATTCAAGGTGTTGATTATGACCTATAAAGCCCTAAACGGCTTGGGTCCTGGCTACCTGAACGAGCGCTTACGCCGGTATATGCCCGACCGCCCTTTGAGATCTGCAGGAGACTCCCTTCGCCGGGAACCCTCCATGAAAGAAATTAGGAGAGTAAGTACTCGGAGGAGGACTTTCTCTGCGGTGGCGCCCAACCTATGGAATTCACTCCCCAAAGAGGTCCGCCTGGCACCGTCGTTACTGGTTTTTCGGTGCCAGGTAAAGACCTTTTTATTTAAACATCATTTTAATTGTTAAAATATATGATCTGGCCAGGGCAACTTCCTTCTTCCTTCTCTTTTCTCCTCCTATATTATTTATTTACTTATTTTATACTGATAATTTTAATTTTTTATTATTATGTTCGTAACTCAGTGTATTTTTTATATTTTTGTATTTAATGGTACTTTATTATGTTCTATTGTATTTCAATGTATTTTATTGTGTTAAGCCGCCCCGAGGCTTCGGCAAGGGGCGGCATAGAAATGTTATAATAATAATAATAATAATACTGTGGGAACAAAAGATGGCAAAAGAAGGGGACGGCAGAGGATGAGGTGGCTAGATGGAGTCACTAAAGCAGTTGGCGTGAGCTTAAGTGGACTCTGGGGGATGGTGGAGGACAGGAAGCCCTGGAGGAAAGTTGTCCATGGGGTCATGATGGGTTGGCCGCAACTTCGCAACTAACAACAAACAACATGTTGCTGAAGCCTGAAGTAACATCTCCAGTCACTAGGAGCAGAAGTTCCTAAACAGCACATAGTTTTGTAGTCCATGCAGTCTGAATCCTGCATGGAGAAATTAATAGGCTGCCAGTTTATACACGTGCTTCCTCCCTGCTGCTGTGCAGCAGCCTCTCCTCCTCAAGGAATGGCATAAACAACCCTTCCATCCCTTTCAGGTAAGGGACAGACTTCCCTAACCAGTGCATAAAGGTAAAAGTAAAGGTTTCCCCCTGATGTTACGTCCAGTCATGCCTGACACTAGGGGGCGGTGCTCATCTCCGTTTCCTAGCTGAGGGAGCCAGCATTTGTTCACAGACAGTCTCGATGGTCATGTGGCCAGCATGACTAAACACCAAAGTGCACGGAACGCTGTTACCTGCCCACCGAAGTGGTACCTTTTCATCTACTTGCATTTGCATGCTTTCGAACTGCAAGGTTGGCAGGAGCTGGGACGGAGCAACGGGAACTCACCCTGTTGTGCAGATTTGAACCAGTGACCTTTCGATCAACCAGCCCAGCAGCACAGCAGTTTAAACCACTGCGCCACCTGCATCCCTAACCAGTGCATAGTTTTGCAATATATAAAAGCAGGTGACTGTGCCCTGCACTCTGCTGTGGGGCAGCACCCTCACAGGAATGAACAGACCACTCCCTGAGGGACTACAGGGGTGTTCCATGGCAGATGTCATGCCTAGAGGTGCCAGCAGCTATGAATTCACTCCTTGTGGGCAGAACCTGTCTGAGTCTGGCAGCTGGGTACGTTTGCTTCAAGGGTTTTCTGTAGCAAAGTAAGGACAGTTCCAAGCCATGAGAATCTGAGTTTGTTCGCTTTGACTTTAGTTGCCCTCACAACAATTGTGTGAAAGAAGGTGTTTTGAGCCTTGTTTTTCAGTCTTAAAATAGGGACCTGAGAGCAATGGCAAATCTGCACCAAAGGACACTGAAGCTCTGAGATGGGGACAGCACCAGGAGCCCATGACAACGGCGGAGGGATCAGGGATCCATGTGCAGGGCAAGACAGAGAACAGTGTGCTTTCTCACTCACAACCTGCAGTGCAGATAAGGGTCACATCTGGCTACCAATCAGAATGCAGGTGTGCAACTGCAATCCATCTGAACTTGTGATTACCAGTCCAAGAAGACATGGTGGACAACTCGTGGGCTTCCAAATGTTTTGGCCTACAACTCCCATTAGCTCCAGTCAGCACAGTCAATTGTGAGGCATCATGGGCAAAACATTTGGAAAGTGACATGCCGGAAATCCTGACACTAAGGGGCATTTGTGCAAAGAAGCTTCCTTCTGCTCTTAGCTCTCACTCACTGGAATGTGCTCCCCATGGAGGTCCATAAACCCATGTCTGCTTTTACTTTGAGAAAAAAGCACAAGGCATTTCTTAGAAAGCTTGTTGGGCCAGCATTTCCCAACTTGGCACCCTCCAGATGTTTTGGACCTCCACGCCTATCAACTGCAGCTGGCATGACCAATGGTCAGGTATGCTGAGAGTTGTTGCCCAAAGCATCTGGAGGGAACCTGGTTGGGGAAGGCAACATTAGGAGAACTAAGGATTTTGGCTGGTGGATTTAATTGTAGAGTTCCACTTTATCAAATCCCTAAAAAATTTCCTATTAAGACTGTCTCCTAATTCAAGAAGGTTTTAGTGGGTCAGGTTTCTATATAATTGCTTATTGCCAGGATGTTAATCAAGGTGGTTTCCTGAGATTCTGAAAGAAGTATGTCAAATCTAACTAATACACAAAACTTCCTACTCATTATCAAAAAGAAAAGCAATCTTTAATAGGGTCTTCCTCATTACCCTGTGAAGCAACACAGCATAACTGTGAACCAAACCACCAGCTATGTTTAGTTCCATGATGGTTTTTATCACATTTCCATGAGCAACAAATATCCTGTGGACAAGCTTCAGGCTGAGCAGAGGATGGACAGGTTCAGAAGCAGTCAATCCTTTCTTTACCTGCAAATTCTCGCTTAAAGTATGCCTCCGGTCTGAATCACCACCTGTAAGGGGAAAGATGCATGGATTCCATATTTTTCCCCTTACAAATGAGAAGGCAGTCCAGAGGGACAACAGTGAGAAAAATACTCTGTTGAAAAGGATAAAGTACATACCTGGATCACATTTACAGACTCCCACAAGTGCTTTGCATTTTTTTTTAAAGTAGGGGAAAAGAGTAATGGACCTATAAAATAGATGTATAGTTTGGCCTCAAAAACAAACCAGGGTGTACTTAATTTGCAGGTCTACTGAATGTTGTAGGCTTATCCACTTACTTCAGAATAAGACCCACTGAACATAATCAGTCTTATTTCTCAGCAGGCATGTATAGGATCACACTTTTAGTTAATTAAAAACTTCTGGCACTAAAGTTTTAATTGTGCTCCAGAGGGCTGACAGACAAGAAGGAATGCATTTTAATGAATAAACAACTCTGAGCAGTCAGGTCCAGCTGCCTCCATCCCTTTGGAGCCTTGAGGCAAATATAGGGTTGCCTAGGAAGCCCAGAATTGTTTTGAAATGGTGGTTTGGGGGATAAGAACTGCTGACTTCACAGCTCCGGCAGCAATGCTGATTCCAGGATGTGTCTCCACCAAGGTTAATGCAATACCTAATCAGAACAAATGGTTTGGTGCTCTGACGCCTGGTTGCAGTTCCCTTTTAATTCTGCAAACTCATTTCAGTTGAAGCAACCATATCCTCAAGTTATCATCTATTTATTTTTATACATGTTAACTTCCTTAACTTGTTTCATCTTCAGTGCTAATGGGCATTGTGTGAAGCCAGCTTACTGATCATCTAGTCTAATCACAGCTTTCCACTGGCTGACACTAATTCAGCAATGGGCAGAGATACCTTATATTAATGATGGCTAAGTTCTGTGTTCAATTCACCAGGGGTTGGGAGTCTGTTATACTACACAACACCATGTTTTTGCAATTGGCCAGGCTCTACAGGGGATAGTCAACCAGTGCATGCAGTTGCCACAGGGGCTGCCATTTCCTCCATATTCCTTTTGCTTCCAAATTGAGAGTGGGCAGGAAGAATCAGTCAGGACTGGAGGTGGGTTTGATCCAAAGGCTTCCAGTTGCTGCTTCCCACTCCGTAAAATAATGTTAGTACCACCAAGGTTTGCAGTAATCCTAGGTCCCAGAAGCAAAAGCTCCACAGCTGTTGAGCACTTCCACACAGGCAGATTTTCAGGACATTCCATAAAAGCCAAGGTATAGTGTTAAACAGGTAAGATCTAGTTAAGTGGAAGAGCACAAACTTTGCCAACAAAAGCTCCAAATTCAAAAGTCTTGGAAAAAGTTCTCCCTAAAGCTGTGGAGAGCTGCTACTCACCAGTGTGGACAAAACTGAGCCAGATGGACCAAAGATCTGACTCAGTACAAGGCAACTTTCTATGTTTCTATGAAACATGTTTTAGTTTTGGCTAGATGTAGTTCAGTTTATTTTTGCCCTATATTTGCACAAACTCCACAGAATAAGAGGAAATTTCAGTTTCTGTTGGGATAGGGAAACCTGTGAAAACACCTTCTGTCTACAGAAGCCCAGATGTAGCTGCATCAGGGCAGCACTGTCCACAAGCAGGATTCACAGCATACCTAGTAATGCGTCTTCTGGATGGAGATCAGTCATGGCAGGGGACATCGGTGCATTGATAGCATTTTTACCCTCTTCTTGCAGGTCAGTCACTGAAACAAACAAGCAAGCCCACAAAAGTTGGCTATTTCACAGGGATACATTGTGCTTCATTATTATTATTTCTATATTTATCTCATTTCTATACTGTCCACTAGCCAAAGCATTCTAGGTAGGTCATGGCAATTGAAAGCACACAAAAAAACAAGATGATAAGGTACAATAAAAACATAGAAACAGAGTGAGTCAGAAGGCGCCTCCCGGGCCATCTAGTCTGACCTCCAGCACCATGGGTCCTCAAACTATGGCCCGCCCACCATGCCAAAGTATACTTTGCATTTTTCTCAGAAACACTAGGTACTCTAAAAAGTACAAATGTGCATTCCCTCTTTTTCTTGGAAAAGGAGGGCTTTAACAAGTCATGTGGTTGTTTCTGTTGTTGTTTTTAATTTGAATATATACAGCAAAATACACCTGTCCATACTCCTTTTCCCAAGAAAAGGGGGAGCACTTTTCCAACTTTACTGAGCATTTAGTGCCTTGGGGGAAGGTGCAAAATTTGTACCACCCTCAGGACTGCCAGGATTTTTTTTAAAGGATCTTGGCATAGATGCTGTCTCCTTGGTTTCTCCCTTTTACGGTGTTAAGAGTGATTTATACCTTAAGAGTGATTTATACACACCAAAGACATTATTTGTTGCCTTAATTAGCACAGAAGCTGAATAAGAAAATTTAATGGGAAATCAAAGAAGTTTTGTTTTCATTGGACCATATCATGAGGCTCAGCATTGCATATGAATTCAACAAACTCATGTTCAAACATTCCCTCTGTTACAAACTTTATTTTTCATCAGTTGGAAAGTAGAAAGGGAGCAAAAGACAACATCATTTTTCCTGCCACTTTACTCACTGCAAGTACAGTTCAAAAACTTCTCACTTGCCTGTATGTTGAACAGATGAGAATTCTAATTCTTAAAACAGACACAAAACACCCATGTTGGATGCCAAAACAGAGTTGCCAGGGAACAAGTTTAACAACAGCAGGCTTCCTGGTGACTATACAACAATGTGAGCTAATTCCAAATTTTAGCAGGATATGAAGCATCTCTGGATTCTTCAAGGATGAGGCACAGACCACATAGCAATCCAATTAGTATGGGCCTTTTGACCCGCTTGGGCCTCAGAATGGCCAGCTGGTTTAGTGATCCTGAATACAAAAGAGTGCCTTCTCTGTACAACACACATTTGGTGAAGCAAAAGTAGAGTTGCTAACTAAGGATTTCTTGAGGATTTCTGGCTAGTCAAATGGCATTCCAGCAGGTAAACTGCAACAAAAAGGTGAAATTTCAGAGGAAACCCAACTTATATGATTTTCCGCTGGCTCCCACCCTGGGTCTATTAGGTTCCACTCCTAGACCACCAATTTTAGGCCCTGGTGCCATCACTCGTACTGGCTCAGGCAAGTGCCACAAAGGATATTGCTGTGTCTTAGCTCCCTGGCTCGCTACAGGATTTTGTTTTTTTCCTGGGCAATTGATGATAGTTCTAGCTGGTTCAATCCTCTATGTGGCACTAAACAAAGTCTCTAGCATGGAAGTTACTTGAGAGTGAAAAAGCATGGAGAATGTTCCACGGAAAACACTGAAGAAGAATCTCAAAGGAAGAGTTTCTTCATTTTTTTCTTGATACCATTCCCTGTCCCTACACTTTTAACAATAGCATGCTCTTCTAACACTAATGGGCAACACTGCTTACATGTTATGTGCTATGGAAATATTTACTGAATTTTACAGCTCAAGCTGATATTAGAAGGCACAAGGCAGCAGGCCAGAAGTGCCTATGAGTGCAGCAGATGTGACAGCGAAAAAATGGGTGTGTGCGCCTCATGTTTAAATAATCTTCCTCCACTCATTACTGGTGTCTGTGGTTTCTTGGCATTTCTATGAAATAACAGAGTGCACATAGTGCTACTTGCAGCCTTCTCCAATGTGGTACTCTGCGGATGCTTTGAGCAAGAACTCTTAGCACTCCTGACCATTTGCCATGCTGGTTAGGGTTCATGGGAGTTGAAATGTCAATCATCTGAAGGACACCAGACTGGGGAAGGCTACTGTAAGGACATGCTGTACCAGCACACAAAGGCTATGGATAGAACATAATACATCCAATTGCACTGCTTCTTCTCCACAAAGCAAGACCTTAAATATTACAATGCACTTTGATGCAGTCCTTCCCTCAAATAACTTAATCAGCACATTCATGTTTTAATTGTTGATACAGATGATCTGATTTCCTCCCTCTTCTGGCCACTTAATGCTTGCAATATTTAAAACAGATAATGTTCTGGATTTGCTAAGCATGACCCATGGGCTCAGAAGCTGATGGAGGAGGACAAGACTTTATCTGGAACTAAAAATAAACCATGCAGAACCGCACTCCCCATGCTGCCATCCAACAAAGAGCTGAGGTGGCACAAGAATATGCCTGCTCTTTTTCCTCCTTTTAACCCATTTGCAACACGGCAGGCCTCCTTTCTATTTCAGAACCAAGCATTTGGCAAGCAAAGCACCAAATGTCCCCCCCACCCTGCCCCAACTACCAAAAAGCAAACTTCACAAGCTTGTCACATTACCATTTATTCTGGGACAAAAAGCTCAAGCTCACAGCAAGAAGATTTTCTTCTCTTTGTGCAAGTAAATGCACAAAATGCTCATTTTCTCTAAATGAGAAAAAGCAAAACCAGGCACTCACACTAAGTTTTTCCTACCTCCTGCTTTCTTGCATTTTTTACAAAGCAGGCTAGCCATTCTGGTCCCCTGGAATGCAAGGCAGCCTGTTGTGTTTTGCTGTAGAGCAGCCTTGGCAGTCCCCAAAAACACACACACACACACACACACACACACACACACACACACACAGAGGCTAGCCATTCTGGTCCCCTGGAATGCAAGGCAGCCTGTTGTGTTTTGCTGTAGAGCAGCCTTGGCAGTCCCAAACAAAAAAACAAACAAATAAATATAAATTAAAAACAATTGGAAGCGAGTAGACAGGAACTGACCTGCAAGCTTGGGTTAATTCTGGCACAGTGCCATGGGAGGCAATGGCAGGACAGCAACCGTTCTGGGGGTGGGGATGGGAAGAGGGGCCTGGATTAGAGGCACATGGCATGGCTGAATGAAGAGGAATGGGCTCTTCATGCTGAAGCCAAATCAGTTGCCAGTCATTCTGAACCTGAACCAAGACAGTTCTCTAGTTGCCAACTCATGGACCTGACAGATGTCATGTTTATCACAATGCTAGCAATAGGAACATTTATTACACTGGGGGAAAGACCAGAATGTAAATCACTGAATATTTAAGTGCCTCTCAGCATGTGCAGGCAACAACATTTTGCCACCCCCTGGCCATGGGATTTGAGTCAGAAAGTCCATCCAAAGTTAGGAATGGAAGACAGGTTTGCCTCACTCCAGCAGGGTCCTCCTTCCTCCCTTCCCCAAACATGCACCCTTTCACTTCTTCCCTTTAGGTAACCATTTAGTGATATATGAGACATCAGCTCAGCCCTAAATCAAGAGGTAGGTCTTGTCCCAACATCATGTGAGTCCAAGACTACAGCTCATTTACAGAGTCCCAAAGAACTTTACACAAGTCCTTTTGAGTCAAAATTGCTCTTTAATTCTAATGTGGTTTCTGGATATGCTTCAGGGTGAATCATAGCTTACTTGTTATCTGTGTTAAAGCAATTTTCTATGTGAAATTATTAGTTTTATTTGGCTATTTATCAATTTAATTGAGCATGTATTATAATGTAAAATTGTAGTTATAACTTTAGATGAAATAACATTCATTGCTGATTCTTTGTGGAACTTCCCACATCTAGTTTTATAAGCAATTGAAGTACATGGTCCCTTGGTAACTTCTTTTTCGAAGATAGGCTAGACATGCACATGGTGGGCATGTCGTGAGTGGAGCTGGCTGGAGCCGGGGGTCAGACTAGAGGGCTGGGAGACCCCTTCTGCCTCACTCTGTTTCTATGATGTTCTCTGTTTTCCTTCTGTTTCTTCTCATTTACAAAACATAAAATATTTTTTCTTTTAAATGGATCTTAGTGATGTTCTTGTTTCATGTCAGTCTAGCTAGACTTGCAGCATTCTCATGTGAGTCAGCCCACAACCTACTTGCTGCCCTATCGGTCCCTTGCACAGCTGCCTCAGCCGATGGCAACTGTGGAATAATCCTGCATGCAGCAGCTCCTCTCCTTAAAACTGGCAATGATGCATACAGCATTTCCATATACCAGACAGTGTTTACAGCCTGGTACCCACAGTGTCCTGAATGCTGAGTCTTGCTGGCATATGCAGTCATATGCAAGCACTCAACTCCATCCATCACAAGAACACACAGTCTCTTGAGTTTATTTTTTATGTAATCACAATATGGTAAGCTCTCTGGAAATATTTTGAAGGGTGCAGGTAGAAAATTAATAAAGGAACAAATACGATCATTATTTGTTACTAGGACTTAATGCTCCAGTACCATAAGGCTGAGGGAATGACACACGGAGAGCAAACTAAATGGGAGAGCAAACTAAATGTTCTTTTATCTTGACTTTAGCTGAACAACATGCTAAGAATTCAGCAGGCAGGCTACAGAGGAACTGCTCCTCTCACACCAAGTTAAGATTAAAGTAAGTAAACATTAATTGTTCACCTTCAACTCATAAACAAATAATAGTAGTAACAATAACAACCACCACAGGATTCAATGTTCTCTTAGGCAAGCAATAGGAATTTTTATTTTATCGGAGATTTAAGCCCCCTAATTTTAAGCCAAAACACTGGAAGGTCCATTGCAGCTGTTTTTAACTCAACCAAATAAAGGAGTTTCTCCTAAATGGCAATCAGAAAGAAGCTGAATGAGTACTGCTATTTAATTTTAGCTGCAGTTATTTCTGATCCAAGGTCTGAACCTCTAGTATTGCAGAACAGCAGCTGTCATCCTGCTGCTGAATAGAATGGCTAATTTTGGGACACTGGATACAGTGTCTTCTGCC